CTGGGTACCCCAAAGTGTTAAGAATCTCCCAGCTCTTACAACAGCACTTCTAGGAACCCACACAGGAAGAATCAGCTACTCAGTGGCTCTCAGAGGGAAGAAACGCAGCTGTGATCCCAGCGTCCAACAATGTTCTTCAACATATCTTGTAAAGGTTCTGGACATTGATAGGAGTTTTCTCTTTTCACAAACTCTTAGTCTGGCTGACCCTCTTGCAACTCTTGTTTGGCCTCACAGAAGGAGCACAAAAGGAGACTGTTAAAAATATGAATCTGGTGAATTAATACTTTTTGTTCAGTTTCTAGAGCCATCACATATGTAAACAGCATTATTAAAAAGAAAAAAAGGAAAAGCTGAAGGGAAGTCATTTTAAAATGAGTCCTAAGCATGTGAGAGAATCAAGAAGTGTGAGTCATTTCTACACAGCAAGGAAAAAAGCTAGCACTTGGGTGCTGACTGAGTAAAGATTGCACCAGGTGGAATGTGGTTAGAGTAACTGAACCAGACATCTCTAAATTCTTGAGCTACGCATACAATAACTGAGGTTTGGTCCTCAGATCATCTAAAGTATGACAATCTGTATTTTGTAGAGAAGCAACTAGAATCTTTCAAGCCATTTGCAAGAGGAATGTGGGAAAGAGAGGTCTGAGTGGTAAATTTATAATACACAGCTTTGGCCTCCCTTGGGAGGCAGTGAGCTCTCCAACCCCAAGAGAATGTAACAGAAGCCCAATCACCACTCACGCAAAAGCCCCTCCCATGTGAACTCTTATGGTTTTCAGGTTTTATAGATCTAAGAGATTTGCTGACTAGGACTTTCTCCAGCCCTACTCCACCTCTCTCAGAGACAGACTTGGACCACTCCTTCCAGGAAGGCTTCCCAGTCACCCTTGGAAAATGAGTCTCAAGGGGAGGCCCTCCCTGTGGACTGAAACACCGCTATCAATACTGCCAGGAAGAATGGTTCCCCAGGCCCTGCCTCTCCCTGCAGGTTGATAGGCAGTAATTCATTGCTAGGGAAAGAGAGGAGGGCCTTACAAGTCCCCGCCCCTCTGAGGATTGACCACCAGTCAATGGTTTGTTAGTAGGAGAGGCTCATGAAGCATCACCCATCCTTGAGGAAGGGGGCTCACGTGGCCCTACCACTGTGAGGATTGATAAACCATCAAGGGTTGTTAAGGGGAGGGGTTCACGTGACCCTGGCCACCCCTGAGGATAGCTAGGCAGTTTATTGTTCTTTAAAAAGATATGATGGTATGCCCCGGGCGGCCTGCGAGCCAGGCAGAGGCTGCCGCCAGAGCAGTGCAGGGTCCCCGGGTGAGCGGCAAAGTCAGGCGGCTGGATGCGGTGGACGGCAGAGTAAATGGACAAAAGGCTATACATAAAGCTAAACATTTATTACTTAGAGAAGAGGGAGATATTTATTACTTAAAGAAGAGGAAAACAGAGAGACATAAAGAGAAACATAGCGAGAGACAGAGACACGTGTGTACACACCAAGAGATGGGGGACAGAGAGAGAGAGAGAGAGCTAAGATGGCGACCAGAAGGTCAGAAGTGGCTGGGAATGGGCGTGGTTAGTCCTTAAAGGCACCGCAAAGGAATAACACAGTTGATGGTGGGAGGGGTCTTCAGTCGTATACTCACTGGCAAATTGTTTCTGGGAACAAATTCTCACCCATGTTCCTGTAATGTTATGCCAGTGTCTCAAGACCCTCAATGAGTCCACCATGGAGCCGATTTTCTTTATTGACAAGCTGGTCCACAACCCAACACACGACACAGTGGGTGGAGGGAATGCAGCCCCAACTTCAGGGGAGGGTGAGTTTTTAAAGGAAAAAGCCACAGACAGGAAATTGCTAGTCTTGGCGGTTCAGGATTGGGTCAGGGGTATGGAGTAAGGCCATTTTTAAAATCATTGGTCAGGCTTTTGCCCGAAACCACAAACTGCCAACAGGAAGTCTGCAGGAACATCTGGACCTTGAAGAGTTTATTGCCTTGTCTTCTGATTGGCTGTGTCTAGGGGTCTGTTTAAATTTCGCTGCCACAGCACATTCTGGAACTGAGTTTAACCCGGGTTACCAGATGTCTTAAGATGGAGGACCTTTTTCAAAATGGAGTCTGTGAGACCAGGTAAGTTTTCCTAGGTCCTCACATAAGCAACCCCAGTTAAACTCACTGGGTCACCAAGAACAATGGCAAGGAGGCAGAAGAAGGACTAGGTGAGAAGAGGAGGGGATCAGCAGGGGTGGGTGGGGGAAAAGGGGTGATGAAGGATATGATCAAAATACATCATATACATGAAGAAATATATCATAACAGAACTCATTATGTTTCAATATATGCTGATAGTAAAGTTTTTAAAGAAAAAATAAACAGCCCTAGTCCCAAAGGTAGAAAGCACTGGGGCCTAACATCCAGAGGAGCAGTGTCTGGTCCTGACCCAGATGAATCAGGGTGGCTGAGAACTAACCCAGCTTCCACACTGTAGGATGCTCCTG